CCCTTCCCTATATCGAAGTGGCCTGCCTGCGTCCAGTCCAGGAAGCTTCCAGTAGGCCCCGGTAGCCTGAGGCCCAGTCACGAGGAAAGCAGGCCTTGGGCCTGAAGTGGTTGCATGCGCCCAACTGCTTTCGGCCTGTGTTCGGCCCGGTACCTGAATCCAGCCCAGGGCCTGTTCTTCGTACATTCACACAGGCGGCCTTGGGCCTGGGTTCATTCAACCAACTGGCGCTGCGCAACTGCCTGAATTTTCCCCAATGCGGGGTACCCTGAAAAATGAGGCCAGAAGGGCCTGTCGTGCCTGCCTTCACTTAGGGCGGCCGACCTTGCTGCAAATAGGGCCGGATGACATATGATGGACCATCAGCATCTGTCCCTACTACATTTAGAACTTCCCAAGGTCCAAAGTACTGAGGCATGAGTTTGCGGGATATCCCGAACTCCTGTCTCAGTTCTGAAGACTTAACCCAGACTCTGTCCCCAACCTGAAATGTAGAAGGGCGGCGGTGTCTATTCTCAGTCTCTATCATTGAGGCCTGCGCGTTCTGCATGTTTTTTACAGCCTCCTGCATCTTCTGTTCATATCGATACGCAAACTCCAAAGTGCCCGGTGTAGCAGTTGGCTGGTTGTCGGGAAGTAGGAAGTCTAAGGGCAGTCTAGGCTTGAACGCCAGTTGTAGATTGTTAGGACTCACCCCGGTAGCACTGTGAACAGCGTTGTTACATAGACTGGCGACTAGAGCAAGTTTTTCGTCCCAGTTTACCTGGTTGGGCTTGATGTAGTGCCTCAACAAGTGTTGCACAGCGCGGTTCATTTGTTCAGCCTGGCCATTAGCTTCTGGATGATTTCCAGAGGTCATCTGCAGTTGAGTTCCTTGTTCAGCTGCAGCGGCCTTCCACAATTCACTCGTGAACCTGACGTCCCTGTCATTGACTATAGACTTCGGCAGTCCGAAGTCTCTAACCCAGTTCTCTTTAAATAGCCTGATCACATACTCGGTCTTCGCTGTTTCTGGCATAGCTATTAATCTAGCAAACTTACTAAACCTATCCACGATGACAAAGATCTGTCTCATCCCACTCTTGCTGGTGACCAGCGTATCCATGAAGTCCATGGACAAACTTTCACCCGGCCTTTCCGGAATCGGAAGGGGCTTGAGCAGCCCAAGAGGAGCCTGAGTATAGGGCTTGTCTCTTTGGCAAACTTGACAAGTTTCCACGTACAGCTGTGCATCTTTCATCATCGTGGGCCACCAGAACCGCTGCAGCAAGTTGGCTGCGGTCTTCTTATACCCAAAATGGTCGGTGGCATCATGACACTTGCCTAAAAACAAACTACGCAAAGACTCGCTATTTGGAACACACAAGCGTTTATTCCCTGCCTTCTCTAGGAACAGCAAGCCATTGACCAACTCAAACTCGGCGGAGGTCTTCTTATCCTTCGCCTCAAGTCTGCGTATAATCTCAGACATAAACTGGTCCTGACGATAGGCTTCCACCAAAGACTGAGTCACATCGTCCGTCAGATCGAACTCAGTAATCAACGCTCCTGAGAAGTCCGGTCTGCGCGACAAGGCATCAATAACCTTGTTGTACTCCCCTTTTAGATACTGAGGATTAAAGTCATATTGCTCAATGACTTCGATCCAACGCTTGAGAGCGTCAGAGAGTACCGGCTGTGTTCTCATCCATCTCAAGGTCTGATGATCAGTCCGGAGGATGAAGAACCGGCCAATGGGTGAGAGCCTTGTACACCGCATAGAGTTCCTTCTCATAAGTGGACTTAGCCAACTTCTGAGACGGCATTTTCTTGGACATGTACTCTACTGGCCTCAACTTTGGCCCATCCTGCCGCGCAAGCACGGCGCCAATGCCATATTGGCTGTTATCCGTTGTGACTATAAACGGCTTGTCAGGATCAGAAAGTTTCAAGACTTCATAGTGCGTCAATGCATGCTTCCGATGTCTGAAAGCAGCCTCGCACTTATCTGTCCACTCCCAAGGGGTGTCAAGGCGGGTCAGATCAGTCAAAGGAGCGGCCACTATGCTGTAGTTCTTAACGAAAGTCCTATAGTAGCCTGTCATTCCTAAGAAAGATCTCATCTCAGTCACAGACTGAGGACGTGGCCAATCACGAATGCTGGCCACCTTCGCGTCATCGGGCTTCAACCCTTCCGCGGGGATCTCATGACCCAAGTACAAGACACGGGTGCGACCAAACTCGCATTTCTCGCCGTTGATCTTGAACTTGTGCTATCGCAGGAGACCGAGGACTTTGTCCAAGTGTGCAACATGTTCCTCGACAGTCTTACTAAAAATAAGTATGTCATCGAGGTACACGATGACAAACTTATCCAAGTAGTCATGGAATATCCGATTCATAGCGTGCTGAAAGGTGCCAGGAGCATTGCAAAGACCGAAAGGCATCACCACAAACTCGTACAGACCATACCTCGTCTGAAAAGCGGTTTTGTGTTGATCCTTGGGCCGGATGACAATCTGATGGTATCCGGACTTCAGATCTATCTTGCTGAAGTACCGGCACCCTTGCACTCTATCTAGCAGATCGTCGATGCGCGGTAGGKGCTCTCTGTTCTTTACRGTKATGGCATTGAGGCCCCTATAGTCAATGCACATCCTAAGAGTTCCCTCCTTCTTCTTAGGCACGAATAGAACTGGAGACCCATAAGGAGAGACACTCGGCCGGATCCAGCCCTTCTCTACAAGTTCCTTGAGTTGGCGGCGAAGCTCATCAAGCTCGCCTGGAGACATCCGATAGATCCTACCCTTTGGAATACTAGATCCTGGGATAATCTCTATCGCATGGACGACCTCCCTCTCAACAACCCCTGTAGGCTCCTCAAATAGATCAGGGTACTTGGCCACTACTCCCTCTATCTCTGGCGGCATTTTTACCGGCTCGCCCGCAACAAAGACATAAACTAGATACATACCCTCCTCCGGATTTTGCTTATAATAGTTGTAGAACGCGGCCGCACACAAGCATCCGTGGGAATCGATCAGACTACTAGCCTTAAACTTGTGTAATCTGGCGGTTCCCCCGTTTGGCAAAGTGTGTTTGACCACCTTTCGGTCCCAGTCAAATTGGGGTTGTGCCACGGAGAGGTAGTACATACCCAATAGCATGTCCATGGGGAGTTCGTCGCTAACCAGGAATGAGACATGATGCCTCAATTCCCC